CGATGGCGGTCACTTTTACTTCCTAACGCCGCAGGCGATCACGCAGAGGCCGGATCATAGCGCCGGCCACCTCTACTCGAGAGTGGGAACTAGGCTGCCTAGACGTCGACGGAGGCCGGGCAACGTGTGATACTTTGTACGCGGCGAGGCAGCCAACGTAATGCCATATATTAATCATCGAGGACGCACGATGGAAATGCGTGTCATATAGAACGCAACGCGTGAATCAAACGACGACGACGAAACGTTCTGTACCGTTACTAGGATATTTATTGTACGTGTAAATATATATAACGTGTATCTCTTGTATGTATGATTAAGATAGATGATTATCGACGCCTCGTTTATGCTATATTAAATGCTTAATTTATGCGATCTAACTCTATCCCCGCTTTAGAGTGTGTGTGTGGATGTGTATATGTGTGTGTGTAAGTTAAACGCCGCTCGTGTGCGACGATAGGTAAGCGCGGGTCCTTTTGAAAGAAAATCGTGTACTCGCGCGTTGTCTGTGATTAATGATCGATAGTAAACGCGTATTGTGTACATATAATTATGATTGACGATATTTAGATTCTGTCGTAGAGCGCACAGAGTGCATTTTTATAAATCGTTAAAATATGTTATAACCGATGCATGGAATATAAACATTGTTTGTACCAAGTTTTCTCCCTTTGTGTAGAAGAAAAATAATTAATAAAGATATGATATATCGATAATCAATGTATACGATAGTTTCTACGGACAGTATTTGATATCGATTAGTTGACACTGATATTATTCTTTTGTATCTCTTATACGATGCTTTATGAATCGATCAAAAAATTTATTGTGTATGTAAATATTTAATGAGATACGTTTAATAAACGATATTATTATTGTAGGATTAGATTAGTATAAAGTATTTTTTTAAACGATACGTGTCAATGTAATGACAGATGAATTTTTTTTAAAATCGATTATTTGGACTTAAAAATGAAATATAACAAATTTAAAAAATTCGAAGAAGTGAAACTTTATGAATGAAACTTTCTATTTGAAGCCACGATAAAAATAAATTACGAGTATTATATTCTTTATATTGTTAACGAATAGATATTAAATATAAATAACTCTACAACAGTTGAAGTTATTTATATTTAGTAATTGATTGATCAAAATAAATGATGCAAGGAATGCAAACTTACCGGTGTCGATTTCTTGCGCCTGCGTTGGATCGGGTAACGGTTCATCGTGTAGTCGTAAATAAACCTCCATTGCACATTTCGCTGCTTTAAAATAAAATGGATGAGCTCGAAGCACATCTTCTAACCTTAGAAGACCCACGTAAGACCTCAAGGTCATTTTTCTCATACAGTAGGTATGAAAGTCGAATTGATCTTCTATGATTTCAGAAAAATGCTACAATCGATACAATTCGTGTATGAGCGAGTATATAATAATGAATTATTATTTGCAAACATGTTATGAACCCTTACCCTGTCAACTTCGTGACATTTTTTTAATGCCTCCCCATACTTTCCAAGACGTTTATAAGCGTTGGCTGCTTCTGTTTGAATCCACATGCATTGCATTTCATTTAAATTCTCCATAGCTAAAACTCCTTCCCTAGTAAACTTGCTACACGTTTCTTCCGCCTCTTTAATGAGATTCGCTCGCAACATGTATTTGGCACATTTGGAATTGATATATCGATCTGCAGTATCTAATCCTTGTGCTTCATCCAACCATTTATAAGCTTCTTGAACATTACCGGCATGCTAATAAGGATAAAATATATTATAATTATATTATTAAAAGCACATATACATTACAAAAATAAAACTTACCTTATAAATGCGACCTTTGGTAACAAAAAGTTCTATAAGTGTAGGTGTATGTTCTATGGCAGCATCAATTTCATTTAGTGCTTTTTCTGTAAGTCCAAGATGATCATAGTGTTGTGCTAAATAATAATAAGTCCATAACAATGCCGAAGCAGGTTCTCGCGGATTATCTTTTTCTTGATCACTAAAATGCCCATGAGCTTTTAATGCTTCTTTGTATTCCAAAACCAAAGACTGTATAGTATCAACCTTTTGTTGATCTGTATATAAGGAACGAAGATTTACAAACAAGGGCGGTACACCTTTATGAAGACCTATAATAAATAAGATATAGTTAAATCAAATTTTAAAATTTAATTTTTTTTTCTTTTTTTTTTTTTTTGAACGAAATAACCATAAATCATACCTCTTCGTAAGTATCGATCTACTAATGTTTTAAATTCATCTCCTACAGCATAATTTAATTGTAAGCGACGCGGTGCTAACGCTCGAGGAAATAATTCTTCGTATCTTTGGAGCATAGCTAATGTTTCTTCAGGTTTAGTATGTCTTTCAGCCTCTGCTAGCCTAGCATAATAAGTTGTATTTTCTGGATTTATATTTAAAAGTTCCTTATAAACTTGTGCTGCTTCTGCATATTGTTTTAATTGTAATCTTAATTTACCTATAAATAATGAAATTAATAGAAAAATATTATTAAAAATATTTAATATTTTTCATAATGAGAAGTTCTAAAGAAATTATGACTTACCATATGTTTCTTTTACAGTAACTTTATCACAAATTTGATCACTATATTTATCAAGATGTTTTAATGCTTGTTCGCATTCTCCTGATTCTTGGATAACCATGTTTTGATATAATAACAATTCACTGTGCTCATAATCATAACAAATCTATAGATTTAAAAAATGTCTCTATATTATATATATTCATATCTAATACTTAATTAAAATATATACCATTATGAAAAAAATAAATCTACATAATGTATTATTTAAATATTTTTTTCTTTTTTATATAACAAAAGATATATAATATTAAAATACATACCATGGGAGAATTTCGAAATGTGTCTAAAATTTTAAGAGCTGTTTCATAATCCTTTAATAAATGATATGAGATAGCGAAACCAATCCACGAAGCACGCTGTGTAGGACGTAACATAAACAATTGATATCTTGTATCCTGAAAAAAATATGAATGTGAATATTAAATATAAAATATAAAGTATCATACTCCTAATAATATGTTAATAAAAATACAATACATTTTTAAAACTAAATTTAAATTATATGTATTCATAATATGCAATATATTGTATAACTTAATTTTTTTTTTTTAAATTTATTTATATCTTTATGAATAATTAATGTTTTTAATACAAATTATACATTACATACATTATTGATATATAAATATTATATATATTGGATGAAGTGAAAATTAGGTTAGTAATATAAACTCATAAGAAATTAACACAAAGATTAATCAAAGTACATATAAATAATAAACAAGAAATAGATTTTCATATTAAAGATTTACCTTATAACCCTCCAGATCCCTCATTTGAATTTGAAGCAGCGATAAGTCTCTAAGAATTTGAATATTATCCTTATCCCATTTAAGGGCATTTCTATAACACTTAATAGCTTCATCATATTTCTTATCCGAGCGTTGTAAAAGTCCATAAACGTGCCAGCAAACATGAGATTGCAAATCATTCCTAAGACCTCTCCGGACATGATCATATGCTTCTTCCTTGCGACCTAAGCAGTTCAGAGTGAGACCTTTCATTGCCAAGGTCTCTCCATGTTCACTAAATTTAGGATTTGATAAAATTTGCTTTGCAAACTTTATCCCATTTTTATATTGTTTATGTTCGTAACACCTCTGCAAGAAACATAAATACGTTTCATACAATAAAACGTTTTCATGATTTCAATACTATGTATTTGAATAAACTGGCATTATAGAATATCGTGAAAGGCAAACAAGAAATCACGTTTTCATTCATAACATTGATAAAATTTTTATGATCTGTGATTGTCAGTGAATTTTTTGTAATTTTTCAAAGAGTGCTTCATCATTAGAGCATGATGAATACTCCTATTAGCCGGAGAGTGGGGTCCAAAACAGAGTATTTTGATTGCATATTACTCACCAGAATTCGTTTAAACAAGGCATTTTCTTTGGGTGGTAAGGGATTGCTGGAGGGCATTTTTGTATAAATACAAAAATATAGGGCCTTTTCCACCCGGTAAACTTAATTTTCACCACAAAACCTCGTGGCCACAAACGAAGAAGTCGATCTTCGATCACGTGATCATCTGCGACAATGCTGTTCCGCCGGAAGTTCTACATTCACGGTGCCGCACACTTTAATAAATTTTATGAATTTTACAAATTTATTAACGATAATAGTCCTTTATTCATTTACGTTGACGTTTATATTACGTTCTCTTTGATACATTCGATGATTTTACCTTTTTCGGAATTGCATGAAATACGTAATTGCAAGTAATGATAACTAACGATATTTAAGGAGCATTTCTATGAAATTATAAAGATTACACAGAATATGATATTTTTTGAATTATACAGGAAAAAATACTTACTATTATAATACGTATATGATAAATTTATCTATTTCACATATTATATATTTATTATTAAAATCATATATATCCTTCAGATTTTTTTAATAATCTTAAGTCTTATTCATAAATCAGTATACCATGATTTGTCTGTTTTTAGAAACAAATCCTTTATTTGTATAAGCACATGGATCTTAAATAAGTAGATTTATAAATGTTTCAAAATAATGTAATATACAAAAATATGAAATATAAAGTTAAGAAGAAAATAATTTATATTTCTTAAACATAGTTTTATTAAATATAAGCAATATTTATACAATTTAGGTATGGTTTCAAATTTTATTTCGTAGTTATGTATATATTAAAGGTTATGTAGACAATCTTTTGAGTAATTAAGAAAAAATTCTAAATTATAAAATATATTTCAGATTTTAAAATTTAGAAATAATAGATTAATTTATATATAATTGAATTATATATATTTATCAGATTTTGTGAACATCAAATGACAATATGTCGTTAATATGTCGAAAACTATGTTCTTTTATTTTATTTGAACATTTTGGACAGATTGTACAATGCGTAGGTGAAGATTTATTTAAATATGGTGCAAAACCATTAGTATTAATTCGACATACAACACATCTTCCTGTAACAAAGGTAACAATTTTTTTCTTTAATTTATTATTTTTATTTAAAAATTTTTGTTAAAATAATATTATGAAATATATTAATATAGTACTCTATAACAAATTTTTAATATTATTTTAGATCAAAGAAGCATTATGTGTTTTAATAAAATATGGTCTTGTAAAATATCGTCAAACAGATAAAGGAATAGAATATATTTTAATTTATGAAAGAGTCCTAAATATTCTTCGTTATCCAAAGTAATATATAATTTTATATAAAATTTTTTTACATTTAATCTTTATTTTACATATGAATAAAATATTTTAAAAAAATATTTTAATTTTAACAGATATATGTTTTTTGTAAAAACAAATTGTGGAAATGAAGCTGAAATGATGTTAGAACAAGTATTAAAAAATGGATATATTACAGCTTCTGAAGTAATTATAAAAACATATAAAAGAATTGAACAATCACCCTGTATGTATATATATATTTTAAACTTTTATTTTAAAAATAATTATATTATTTTAATTATTTATTCATATTTTTTAGCTAGTATACAACCATCAATTCCAGTTTTAAAAGAGAAGTTTGAATTACTTATCAAATATCAATTTTTAATGCGTAGTACAAACAAAAATGAAGAAGAAGGAAATTCAAAATGTGATTTTACATTACCAGATTTGGATTTAGCTGCTATTGCAAAATACTTAGAAGGAGACAATTGTAATCTTAAAGATAAAATTTATTGGGAAATTAATATTGATCGTTTTACTCAAGATTTTAGGTAAGATTCCTGTAAAAATATTATAAAAAAAATATTATGATTATAAAGCAAATAAACAATTTGCGATCTATAGGGATCAAATTATTGTATCATCTATAAGTAAAAGACTTGATAAAAATGCAGGGGAATTGATGAGGCGATTATTATTTCTTATGTATCTAAGGACAGCATCATGGGAAGATACATCTAATCCAATACCATTTGCGGAAATAAAAGATGCAGTTAAAAAACTCAATTATCCATTACTTACTCAGCATCTTGATCAATATTTACGTCTCATTGGTATGGACAATAGGTGTACATAAAAAGGTTTTGTAAAATGTTTAATCACTGTAAACAATATTGCATGAAACTCAATTAATATATTATTATAGAGGAAGATAGTAGTCAATTTTTAAAACGAGTTGGAGATTCTGGAGGTGGTCAATATAGTGTTAATATGAAAGAAGCATTTAATCAATTGGCATGGGCAACTTTAGAAAATATTGTAATGGAACGATTTGGTTCAAAAGCTGCTAGAATTTTCAGGTAATACAAAATTTAATATTTTATTATGTTTAATATTGATAATTTAATATCCATTTTACTAAATAGGTTAGTGCGTGCTAGAAAGTACATTGAACAAGAACAAATTCAACAATTAGCTATGATTCCAGCAAAAGAAGCAAAACATTTGACATATACTCTACTGCAAGAAAATTATTTACAAATGCAGGAAATAAAAAAAAGTGGAGTATCAGCTGCACCAATAAAAACATTTTTTTTATTTCACATTGATTTAAATTTGGTGGTTCGTATGGAAATCGAACACTGTTATCATGCATTATACAATATAATGCAAAGACGAGAGTATGAAGTAAATAGTAATAAACGTATGATTGATAAACAATTGCGAATGCAAACATTAACAAGTAATTTAAAAGAACATGGTGCTCCTGAAGAACAATTAGCAGAGGTGCATATAATACTCATTATTATATTATTTTTAACTATATAATAAAATATATAATAAAATAATTAAAATATCAAAATTATTTACAGATTGCAGAAATGATGACTCCAACTGAGAAACAACAATTAGAAAAAGTCCAAAATACAATTAAGAAATTGGGTATCACTGAATTACAGATTGATGATACTCTATTTCTATTGACGATGTATTTACGTTATCACTAAATGAAGGCATATTTTGTAAAAATATGACATATTATCATGAATTATTATTATATTATAATAACGCTATTCATTTTTATTCAAGTACGCAATCAATGCGTAAATCCATCAAAAAACAAATACATAAAATTTCATTCATTTATATAGTTATTTATTTATGTATAATAATGGTTACGCTTGTAAAATACAAACAACAAAGAATACCTAACTTTCAAATTATTGTAATAAATATAATCATATGTCTATGTTTATAATAGTGCTGCTCTCTATGTGATACAGTGCATTTGATGTCACTATCTGTCAGGGAAAATGATCTTGGAGTACACACCTTTAAATGTTCCATCATTGACAAACTTCGTGTAATTATACCTTTTGATGCGATATAAATGTATGTTAGTTGATTAAAAACAAATTATTAGAGTTATGAATCACAGCCAGCTCAAGGTGCTTTATGGATCAGTAAATAAGTCGAACGCTGCAAATGCTATTTATAATTAGCTAAAAACGTAATTTCATTATCTTATGTAAAGATTGGAGACCATCATTTTTAGTGTGTCGCTATTAACGTACGTTTTACTTCCAAGTATGATTTTCCCTTAATTCCTATTATATACGTTGTACGTTCATCTCAACACTACTGCGATGGAAACGATTTTCTCTGGTTCTAAATTACTTATTGGTAATGAAGATTCAAAGTAGATAGTCTTAACAGTTCACCGATCTTAAATATACATATTTTGATTGTATGCTATTGACACCAATTAATAATGTGTACAGCCAATCGCAAATAGTGATAAGATGATCGTAAGCGTGTAATCGCATCCAACATGCATTTGACTGATTTTATACTTTTCTTTCTCTCTTTCTTTTGACACATATACACATACATACACACATTCAAACTTTTTCCCTTCTCTCTCATTTACACAATTCTGCATAGACTATGTACATTGCACGTACATACAAGTTTCTGCTAGAAATAACGTTGTATACCTAAAACTAAGATTGAATTTCGGTAAAGCGTTATTTTATTATATATATATTTTTTTTTCATACCATTAACAACAACGTACATGTAAATGAAGTGAATTGTTGGAATATTGAGATTGGATGTTAGTGTTCACTTTTTTCTTCGTTACGTTAGATACACTATAGTATTAGTAATGCATTCGTTTTACAATTTACTATTCTTACAATTTGCATTTGCACTGGTTGCATTTCTTTTCTTTTTTTTTTTTTTTCTTTTGAAATTCGATGAATTTACAGCGAGTGCATCGGGATTATCGTGAAAAATGCTTCGTTTCTAGGTATACAAACGGAAAAAAAAAAAAAGAAAAAAAATGAAAAAATTAGAATTATGTACTTAATATCAAACGTTAAATTTTTTTTTTTTACTAAGATCCAAGGAAAATTCATGCATTATTTTGATTTTTGTAGTTGTAATCCATGAAATAAACGAAATTAAAATTAATTGTTAAAACAAACGATGTGCAAGATTTAATCGAAATTGATAAAAATTGGACGAGGAAGATACGAGCCGAGCTTAATTATACACGATTCGAAAATGCCTTCTTGATTAAAAATGAGATTAAAAGAAATCGAGGAAAAGAAAAATTAGGAAAATGGTTATTTTGAAAGATTATAAAGATATGGCACAATAGAAAATAACATACAAGGCGCGTTTATATCTTCCGCATTGAACAATAAATTGATTTGTCGAATGATTCAATGAACAAGATGAATAAGGTTGAAATGTCGGTCTTTGGAGATCAAACTGGCGAAGAAAGAGGAAGCAGAAAAATAAAAATGGAGGAAAAATGTGAATAGCTTGAAAGAAATGGCTTCAAAGAAAATATAATATTTAAATTTTTCAGAATGTGACAAGAAGAAAAAAAATACGTTTCAGTGTAAATGTAAAAAAAAAAACTAATTGTGTTACGTGAACGATACGACATCGAAAATTTTTGAGTATTCGAGCACGCAAACGATCGACGATCTTCCTGTTGTCGTCATCGTTGTCATCTTGAACTGGCACGTACAACCTCTATTGCTACTGCGTAATAAGGATAATTATTAAAAAAAAGAAGAAAGAAATAATATAATAATATTAATAATAATCATAATAATAATCAATAATCAATAATAATAATAATAATAATAATAATAATAATAATAATAATAATAATAGTACTAAATAAAACTGATGTGACAATAATAATATTAAGGATAATATTAAACAGAATAATGACCAAATGAAAATAAGGATATGCATCGCATTTTTAACATTTCGTTAAATCTACGTGTTCTCGAGTAAATTACATATATGTAGCGCTATGCAAGATACATCACAATATAGTTACACTGTACATTCAATAGTATTGACACTTTTTTTTGCGTCGGTCGATTTCATTCTCTCTCTCTCATTTTCTTCTCTCTCTCTCTCTCTCTCTCTCTCTCTCTCTCTCTCTCTCTCTCTCTCATCTTCAATCATACTCTCTTTCTCTCTCTTTTTATCTCTCGGTTGTCGAACACACCGCCGACGCAGTTGTACAAATCCATGTATATACATAAAATAAATTATTATCAACATTAAGCTATCCTATCTGCCGCCGGCCGCGGTATTCGAAAAGCACCCGACGAAACACGGGCGCAGATATATCGAGGATACTGGCTCTCTTTATAAAATTATATTAGGTACCTTGTATAGAATTGCACTGATTATAAATAACAAAAAAAAAAAAAAAAAAAGAGAAAAGAAAAAATGGTGAAAAAGGAGACGTAGAAATTATCGAGTTTTTCACGTCGAGCCAACTCTGCCGACCCGGGAACCGAAAGGGGCACCATGTCGCCCTCTACTTCCGGCCCGCGAAAACGTTATTTGGCACATAAATATTATCACATCGAGCTCCCGATTTTTCCATGTTTCGGTACAATTCGTTTTCCCGAATAAAACGCCCTTAAACAGATTTTATCCTTTTTTTTTTTTTTTTTTTTTGCCCATTATAAAACGCTGCTCGTTTTCGTTCTTTTTTCCTTTTTTTTTTTTTTTTCTGTAACATTCATCAACACCACGATAAATCAATGGTCTTTAGATTACTCTCGATCGACCCCCGTCGGGTTTATCGTGCTTTCACGAACTCGCACAAATTCACAAGGAAATTGAATAAAACTGAGAAAAAACGTAACAGCGTGTGTCCGGAAACGTCGAAAAACAAAAACACACAACGTCGTATTAGAATTTGATTATTCGTTCGTTTACATCGTTTACAATAAATAACGCTAATTTTCCCCGTCCGTAATTTACACATTGTAACATTGTACTAAAAATTGACGCCGCGCGTGTCCTTCTCTCATTTTCTCGCTATTCATTCCTCCTACGCATACACACACCTCCTTTCCTTCTAATAATACGCTTCGATTATTTCTCTTTTTTTAAATTATTCGATATTTCTCTTTTATTAAAAAAAAAAAAAAAAACAAGAA